GTCCACTGCCTGTCCTCCATTTGGCTACCCTGCCACTAGACGCCCAGACATGACGACCGGATCTCCGTGTTGGAGCACTCCAGCAGGGAGCCGGGGGCAGCCTGAGTCCCCGGGGCCGGTGGAGGCCAGCAGCCACCAGCACCAGGATGGCTGCCCGCTCACGGAGAGGGCAGCAGACCCCTGTGCCACACAAGCACCAGGCCCACACATGCGGGTGTGTATTTTCGTTCGCTCCAGGAACCCAACCAAGCCTCTGGCTCGTACCCTCTGGGCCTGAGGGTAGACGATAGGCAGGTGGGCACAGGAGGGGCCTGACTCACACCTGGAGGCAGTTCCCACGACAAGTCCCTGGTGTTCGTGCTGAGGGAACAGTGGTGGGGGTGGCTCCCCGGCCCCTCCTGGCCATTTGGGGTGCTGGTGTCATGCTGTCCAGTCCCACTGGCCTGAGTAGGCCTGGTCAATGGGGATACCATGCAAGCCCAACCCTGGGTCAGGGGCACTGGATGGGGATGACGCCCGGCCTTCTGGGTCCCAGGGCCTGAGGCACGTCCAGGAGGCTGGCAGTGACACTGCCCAGGAGGACATTGGGCAGGAAGGGCCAGGGAGGGGGTTCCAGGAAGCCAGAGGCCTCCGCGGTGGCAGGAACAAGGCCAAGCCCCAGCCTGGAAGTGTGCTCAGCGGGAGTCCCTGCAGGGCTCTTCTCAGTGTGCTCAGGTGTACAGCAATGCCTTCTGCCCAAAGTGTGGTGTCTGTCAGCCGGATGGTGCTCCCCACCTTGTGCCTAGTGGGCAAGAAGGGAGTCGGCGGCGGCAGGGGTGGGGGGTCCATGCTCCTGTGTCCTTGTGTGGAACCACTGTGCATGCCTGCCAAAGCTTCCCACATAGGCTTGGGGCATTTAGACTCACGCATGACTCAGGTCCTGAGCAGATGGGGAGATAACTTTGCAGCCCTCGCTTCTTCACCTTCTTCATTCCTTCAGCACACCACCTGCTTCCAGCCACAGGGCCTTTGCATAACTGCTGCTTCTGCCAGCCGTGCCTTTTTTCCTTATTCCTTCTCTCTCATTCAGATCTGAGCTGAAATGTCACCTCCTCAGAGAGGCCCTCCCTGGGTGTGCACTCTGAATTTGCTGCTCTGTCACAGTCTAGCAAATCACTTTGTTTTAAATTTACTTAGAACAAATGTCACATTTCTTACTTGTTACTTGTTGGCCTTGGGCATAAGCCCTGCACAGGCAGCAGATGTGTCCACCTATCCCCTGAGGTGACCAGTGCCTGGGCAGAGCCAAGCAGAGTTGGCACACAGTAGCCATGTGAACAAGGCCCGCAGTCACCCATGAGCAGAGCATAGGGGTTAAAAGCCCCAGCTATCAATTATGTGGATCTATACAACAATATTGGTTTTGCCAGAGACTAGCTATGTCACATGAGCCCTTCTGTGCCTCAATTTCCTCATCTGTAAAAAGAGGTTAATGGTAACCCATATCTTGCCAGTTGCTATGTGGTTTAGATGAACTGGTGGGTGTTGAAACTGTAGAAGTTTCCAGTAGGTAGTGGATACATTGTAAATTATAGCTATGGCCTTCATCACCACCGTCATCATCATCATCATCACCACCATCACCACCATCATCACCATCACCACCATCACCACCATCGCCACCATCACCATCACCACCACCACCACCATCACATCACCATCATCACCACCATCACCACCACCACCACCACCATCCCCACCATCGCCACCATCACCATCACCACCATCACCACCATCACCACCATCACCATCACTATCCCCACCATCCCCACCATCACCATCACCACCACCATCACCATCACCATCACCACCATCACCACCATCACCATCACCACCACCCTCACCATCACCACCATCACCACCACCACCATCACCACCATCATCACCATCACCGTCACCACCATTACCCCTCCACATGCCTGCCACAGTGTCTTTCACTGGCTGCCATATCAAGGGCGAGGTGATTGGAGATTGGGATTAGGGGCTTCCTCTAGGAAACCATAGCCTGTTCTTCCAGGCAGACGGCTGGGCCTGGGAAAGGTGGTAGCAGGGACATCAGGCCCTGGAAGTGAGGAGGACAGGGAAGGCTATGTCTCTCTTTGGGAGAATGAGCTCCATGTGCAGCACTCTTGGCTCTGCAGATGTGATGCTTGTTGCCATGGTGACTGTCCTAACAATAACCTCCCAGTACTGATATTCCCCACACCCGCCCCAGCTGCCACCTGGGAGGGAGAGCCCTCCTCACTGACGAAAGCCAGCTAGAGAGGATAAGGTGGGAGGCAGAGATGATGTGGGGATGTGGGTGGAAGAGGGTCCTTCCTGGAGGAGGGCTGGGAGGCCAGAGCCAGATGAGAGGGCTTTGGCGGCCAGAGACTCCAGAAAGGCAGTCATGGCTGGCTGATCTTCTCCCTTCCAGTGTTCTCCTCTGCTGGGGAGGAACTCTCTGAGTCTGGAAGTGGAGAATAAGTGGTTCTGGAAGTAGGGTGTGGGGTTAAGCTTGTAGGTGGGGCAGTCTGGGCAGCTCAGCCACCCCCCTGCAGCGCCCTCATCAGCCTGCCCTTCCTGCCCTCCTCCGAGTCACTCCACATCACGCCTTGAACCTTCCAACCCAGGCAAGGGGCCTGTGGGACCCCGGTTGCTAACAGGGGTAAAAGAGGGTCCTTTGATCATACCCCTTTAATGACCCTGACTTCTTGTGGAAACTTGGTCCTCGGCGGCCTCCCGAGCCAGAGAAAGTCACCTCAAAACAGCCCCCCAGAATGCCACCATCTCCTTGCCTGGGGTTTCAAGGAGTGTGTGTATGAATATGTGCGTTTGCATCGTGTGTGTATGTGTGTGTGCATGTGTATGAAAATAAAAGACAAGATACAGTTGATAGGGCAGTGGGGTGTGAGTCCCAGCCACTCGTTGGCTGTGTGACTTTGGGTAAGTTACTTTACCTCTGTCTCTCCACCGTCCCATGTAGTAAAATGGGGATAATAATAGTGTGTTTCCTGGGACTGTTTGAGAATTTGATGAGAGAGTGCATGTACAATGCTGTGAGCCAATCAGTATCAGCTGTCATCATGATTCTAATGCCACTTTGTCCTGACATGCTGCCAGGAGCGTGTGTGACCTTGGCAGCACAAAGTGTCTGCTTGCAGCTTGGAGAAGGAGGTGCAGGTTTGTTTTTTTTGCTTTACTAATTGTGTGGGACTGCCTCCTTCTCCTTCTGGAGCCCAAAAGGATGTGGACGGCCCAGCGTGTGTGGTAAGACAGAGCACCCCCCACCCTGCCCAGGAGAGGCGGACAGCTGCCCATTAGGAGGTGCCCAGGGAGTGCTAGTCAGCTGGAGGCATGCCAGTGGTCTCTCCTCTTGCCCGGCACTACTAAGGTCAAGGCCAGACCCACCCAACACGCAGGGTCCCCCTGCTCTAAGCCAGGCACTTGCCAGAATATACCTCCGCCTCTAGACGCCTCCTGGGTGCCAGTTAGGTCTAGAAACCTACCCAGAACAGGGACTGGCTGCCAGTCTGCTCATCCACCCACAGCCATGTGCCAAGGCCCTGGCTCCCCTCACCCCAGAACCCCTTCATTTGGCCTTTTATTCAGGAAACACTTTATGTGGCTTCGGGGCAGCCAGAGGCCAGAGTGAGAGAGCAGGATGGCCTGCAGCGTCTGCCTGGGGAGTCCACGGAGCTGTAAGTAGCTCAGATCAGGACAGCTGCCTGACCTACATCAAGAGCTGGGTGCTGGAAACTTCTGTCCTCAGGGCCTGCCCTGGGCAGACCCTGCCTCAGTACCTGCACGAGGGTGTGGGTGCCGGAGCCAGGTGGGTCCTCCACTGGCCCTGAAGCCTGGTTCCAGAGGACAGCCTGGGTGCAGCCCTCGGGGAGCCTGGTTTGCGGGAAATGGGGTCAGCCCAGCTGTTCCTGCACCTCCCTCCTGCTCTCTCCTCCTCCTCTGTTCCAGTGTCACGTTCAAGATGGACCCTCTTCTAGGCCACAGCAAGGGGCAGGCAGGTGGACTAGGCCTGAGAGGGAAGAACGTGTCCCACTTACTGGGCACAGAGCTGTGAACTCTCAGGCCTCCTGACTTACTGCCCTCGTAGCCCTGTTCCACCGACTCCGGGGCCCTCCGACTCAGCTCCTCTGCTGGGACACTCCTGCGACCAGTCTTCGGGAGCAAAGGAGAGGGGCCTGGGGCCACAGAGAGCAGACAGCCGGCAGGCACCCTCATCCCCCACCCCGCATGGTGTCCAAGGCCCCCCTGGGCAGCTCTGCCGGGCTGCGGGAGGGGGCGGGAGTGGGGGGCGCACGACCGTTGCAGTGTGCGCAGCGGTGGAGACGCGACAGGAGGGTTCTGGTAGCATCTCCTCTTGGGGGTGTGAGGAATGAGTCCTGTGGAGGCTGACACACCTGCCCTCGTCCACCCAGGTGCGTTGAGTCCTCTCTTGCCTTTCGGGGTGAGGTGGGCACTCCGGGAAGAGAGGAGGCGGCGTCCATTGTGTGCAGTCCCCTGTGTGTATTCAAGGGGGTCTCCAGCAGGGAACTGAGAAATTGGCTTGGGTGGCTTGTGGTGCCTGTGTGTGCGCGCGCACAGGCTTGGGTGCGGGCCCAGCGTGTGCAGGGCAAGGGCGTGGGTGTGGGAGCGGTGCAGGTGAGGTTAACAGTGCGGGTGTGGGTGCGGGTGCAGGGGAGCGGTGCGGGTGCGTGTGCAGGGCGCGGGAGCGGTGCGGGAGCAGGGCGCGTGCAGGGCGCGTGCAGGGGCGGCGGGTGCGGCGGCGGCGGCGACGGCGGCGGCAGCGGTGACAGCCGCGCCCGCGCTCCCCGCGCGTAGGTGTGCGGCGCGCTCCTGGCGGGGACGGAGCGCGCAGATCTCGCGTGCGCTCGCCGCCCGGCGCAGCCCAGCCCGGCCCCCACCCGGCGCCGCGAGCCGAGGTGTAGCCCGCGCCCGCGCCCGTGTCGCCGCCGTGCCCGCGAGCGGGAGCCGGAGTCGCCGCCGCCCGAGCGCAGCAGAGCGCACGCCGAGCCCGTCTGTCGCCGCCATGGCCACCACGGTGACCTGCACCCGCTTCACCGACGAGTACCAGCTCTACGAGGATATTGGCAAGTAAGAGCCGCGGCGCGTGCGGGCCGGGCGGGGACTCGGGAGGGCACTGCGCGCGGAGGGCCGGGACCTCCCGGACCCCCGGACCCTACGCGCCGCCGGCTCGGGGCGCACTGCGGCCCCGCGCGCCCCCGGCTCCTCCCGGCTTAGGGCCCGAGGCGCTCGGCCCCGCGCGGCCCCGACCCCCGGGCCCCGGGCCAGGCTGCCGGACCTCGGCGCGCGCAGCTCCGCCCGGCCCTGTTCGGCGCGGCCGCCCGACCAGAGGCCGGCGCTCTGGGCGCGGGGCTCGGCGCCGCGGGGGCGGCAGCAGGTGTCCCTGGAGCGCTGAGCAGACGTGACGCATTTGGCGGCGGGAGGTCAGAGAGGAGCGGCGCGCGGGGGCGGCCGCGGGGCCTGGAGCGCGGGGTAGGGGGCGGCCCTGGCCTGAGGGTCGCTCCTGGCGCGGACGCGCTGTCCCCACCCCCACCCGGCGGCCGGGTGCGGGGGCGGCGGGACCTGCTCCGCGTCTGCTCCTCCGCGTGGCTCCATCTGCACGGACGGTGCCCGCTGCGCTCCGGGCCGCGTGGGAACGGCCTCTGCCATGGGGTCCTCGCAGACTCACGGTTCTGGAGGATTTTCCCCAGATTCTTCTGGAAAGAGGAGGCAGGGGAGCCGAGGGCTGAGGTCGGGGAGCTTAGCAGATCCCTGGGGTGAAGATGAGGGGGGTCCTGCAGGGGGGCCTTACGGGCTCCCTGATTTCAGGGTCATAGAAGTAGGTGGAGGGTGGATTTCGGAGAGTTATTGACGCGCGTGCGGGTGTGAGGATGGGTAACGTGGTGAGGGGATTCGAAGGCTCGGTTCAGGTGGGGCCTCGCCCCTGGGGAACAGGTGGCCCCTGGGCTCTGGTCACCAACATGGGTGGTGGGGTGCCCCTGGACTCTCGGTTCTGCAGGGGCTCCTCCTGGCCTGGAGTGAATTAGGGTGGCTGTGCCTGGCCTCCCTCGGTCAGGCTCCCGAACCCCTGAATCCCCAGGCTCCAGGCCCTCACGGCCAGAGCCCCCTCCTCCTCTGTCGTCCTCCCGCCCTCCTGCGTGGGGGGTGGGGGCCGCTGGCGAGGTTTCCTCTTACACATTCAAAGGCAGATCCTTCTCTAAAAAAGGTTCCTGATGGTGCTCGTGTTGGTGAGGGGTGCTGATCTGAGAAGAGTGCCGGCCTGTGCTGTTCTCCCTGCTTCCAGGGACGGATGCGGGTCAGGCCTGAGGGCGGGCAGAGGAAACCTCTGGCCTGGCCCTGAAGGCCCAGAAACTCCTTTCCGTCCACCGGGTGCTGTTTGGGTGTCCGGCCTCTGGGGCTGTGGACCTGGAGAGTGGAGCAGAGGCCGAGGCCCCGGGGGGCAGTGTGCCCACCACGTGCAGTTCTGAGGCCCTGAACACAGGCCTGAGAGAAGCTGGCCCTGGGCAGCCGGCTGGGGGATCTTCAGATGCAGGAGGGTCGTTTTCGCAGGACGAGGGGGGCAGTGGGAGGAATTCATCCTTTCTGGGGGAATTTCTGGTCATTTCTGTGCTTGCCCAGGAGCACAGTGACCCTGAGCCAAGTGCCCCTGGGCCCCCCTCTCCTCAACCAAAGCTGGCTCCGCCTACCCCCCCTGCACTTTCTGTGGGCTTCGGTGGGTCTGGCATTGCAGAGAGTGGCCCACCCAACTCCAGGCCTGCGGTCCCAGCAGCAACGAATCATCCTGGGCGCTGCCACCCACGTCCACGCTGAACAGAGGTCTCTGGGCCACCCTGGGTGGAGGCCAAGAGGGGACCTCACAGCGGAGGCCAGGCTCCTCCCCAGTCAGCAGGAGCAGGAGCAGCTTCGAGAAGGCAGCCACGTGGCTGCCGTGCTGTGCAGCTGGAGGGCTGGAGCCTGAGTGGGTGAAGCACCCCAGCCTTGGGGCAGGGGGGCATGGGCCTGGGAGGGGAAGGGAATGTGCCCCAGGACCATGGGCCGACCCTCTCGGACCAGGAGGGCTTCAGCCTAGTCCAGCATTCCTTCATGGAGCCCTCAGGCCCCGGGCCCCGGGAGGGACCCGAGCGCCTGTCACAGCCCTACTGGGGCATCCTGGGTACGGGAGGCCAAGCAGGTGCGGGGTGAGCTGCAGGGGGGCAGGGGTCCAGACGGCCATGTTGGCCAGTTGTTGACAGTGCCTGCCCAGGGCACAGTTGGTGCTCCTTCCCGGCCTCAGGTGGATGTGTCCAAGTTTATTTAAAGCTGCAGCCCCTGGCACCGGATGACACTGAGCTCTCTGCCTGGGAAGGGCTAGGCCACGGGCCCACAGCTGCCCCGGTGATGCAGCCGTGGCCCCCCTGCCTGCCCTGGCCCCTTCCCTGTCTGCCCTCACCCCCGGCTGCACTCAGGATCCTTCCCTGGGGACCTGGGTAGCGGGGTCTGAGGGCCAAGGCGAGCTGTTTTCTGGGGCTCTGCCCTGTCTTGCCTCGCTGGGCAGGGCAGCCACGCCTGGCCAGGGTTCTCTCCTGAGTCCTGGCCAAAAGCCCCCTTGAGCCGGGGGTGCCCAGGCAGGCACACAGCAGGGTCGCCAAGCCCTTGGCAACAAGGTGTTAGTTTTTTATGTTGCATAGGTTTTAAAAATTGAGAAACATTCCAGGAGTAATAAAAGTGAACAGTCGTATCTCTTCTATGAAGAATTGAAAGCTCGTACATTGCTTGTGTCTGTTCCACCAAGGATTGAAAATATTATGAGTGTATGTTCAGTAACTGAGACTGAGTCCCGCAGATCTTACCGAAAAGCACCGCGATTCTGGGTGACGGCACCAGATCTTCGAAGATCTACCGCGTGAGCTGATGTCTGTGTTAACATAACGGGGGATCGTCCCCTGACACACACGTGGGGAACAGATCGCCACATCCCACACCTGATACGCACTCGAGGTGGTACGTTGATTACGTCTTAGTAAAGCTGGAAATGGGGGGCGCCTGGGTGGCCCGATACAGCTGGAAAACACAGAGGAAGATTTGTTCTCCAGGCGTCATCATGCATTTGGAACTTATGCTTCCAAACGCTCTCGTTTGTTTACACTCAGCTGTAAGTGCCCACAACTAACGCATAGGATTGTTGGTGTGTCTGAACTTTCTGCGACAGTTCTGACACGTGTCTTCGCTCCGCTCCAGCCCATTGCCTCCTGTTGCGCCGATGCGTTGACTGGCCATGGCCGCTGGCGGGAGGCATGCTGTAGCCACCGCCCTCTGCACGGAGGCCTGTGTGGCTCCCGGTGGCCACTCTGTCCAGTCCCACGGTGAGTGTGCTGGTATGAGGGCTTCTGTAGGGTCTGTCTTGGCCACGCTCTCTGCGTCCCCCTGCACGTCCAGCCCCTTGGTATGAGGGCTTCTGTAGGGTCTGTCTTGGCCGCACTCTGCGTCCCCCTGCACGTCCAGCCCCTCCTGGCATGCTGTCACTTGTCACTGGAGGATCTTAGCTGTTCAACAGGCGGTTGGGTAGGAAGAGATGTTTTGCGTTCGGCCTCCAGGATCTGCCACTTTTGGGGGTCACCTCCTTTAAAATGTGGATGATCTCTCCAGAAGAACGTAGCTGCCATGAGGTTTTGGTTTCGGGGCTCTGGCCCCTCTGTGTGACCACCTCCAAAATGCATGGCACTGTTTGGAGTTGAGCGGGAAGTCACCCTCCTGCCCCCTTTTACAGACACAGAACCACGGCTCAGAGGGGATGGGTGGCTCCGCCCAGCAGCGAGGAAGGCCAGGCCTCCAGGCCAGGGCACCCCACTCCTCCCAGCACCCCCAGAACTTTGCTAGGCCCGGAGTCGACCTTGGGGTGTCCTTGACTCCATGCAGTAGAGAGCAGGCCCCGTCCCAGGCTGTGAACCCACCCCCCCACCAATGGGCCTCTGCACACTGTCAACCTGCAAGTGACCTGCCAGCGGGTCGGTGGATAGACAGGAAGTTCAGAGCAAAAGAATGGCAGAGTCTCCTGAGCTCTGAAGCCTGGTGGGCTCTGTGGAGAGGGAGCCACGTGGTTGTTCTCTCATGCCCTCCAGTGAGGGTTTCCAGCCTCAGTGCCTTTGTCCATGATGTCTCCTTCCCTGCTGCCCAGCCCAAACCCCCGGCCCGTCCACACAGGGGCAGCTTCCACCCCACCCCAGTCTGCAGGTGGGCTCCAGGCCTGGCAGTGCTGCTGTGCCTTGAGGGAGGGGTGAGTGAACAGGGCCCAGGGCTGGAGTCTCATCCGTAACGGAGGGTGTTTAGGAAAGAAGTCACACACGTTGAGACTGCTGCAAGACGCACATGAAGGTGACGCTAGTTTAGTTACTATTGAACGGTATTTTTATACCATAACCTACTTTGCTGGGAGCTAAGAATATACCTCGCGCGCGCTACCTGCACTCTGCCTCCTGGTGACAGTCCTAGCGGTTAAGTGGTGCTTCTGACATCAGCGAGCTCCGTGCAAGGAAGAGGTGCAGCCCCCATTCCCCCACCGCAGCCAAGGCCAACGGAGGAGAGATCGGGCCCCGCCAGGGCCGAGGCCGCGCAGGCCCGGATGGGAATCCAGGCTCTGGGCTCCCAAGTCTGCCTTCTGCTTCTTGAGGAAGCTTGTGACCCTGCCCCGTACTTTCCGCCGGCTGACTCACACCCGCTTGTGGTCTACTCTGACTGTCAGCTTTTCGGGACTCTGCCTGTCCTCAGAGGGCTGTTCTTCAGCACAAGCGTTGCCTCTGGCTCCTTCCTGAAAAACCCGTGTTTCCTTTGGTCTCCATCCCCCAGCACCTCATACTCTGCCTTCATTTGGGATCGGCAGGACTTGAAGTTTTATTTTCTTTTTTTATTTTCTCTTTTTTTAAATGTTTTTTATTTATTTCTAGGAGAGAGAGAGAGAGACAGCGTGAGCAGGGGAGGGTCAGAGAGAGAGGGAGTCACAGACTCTGAAACAGGCACCAGGATCTGAGCTGGCAGTCAGCACAGAGCCCAATGCGGGGCTCGAACCCACAAATCGCGAGATCATGACCTAAGCG